CGTACACAAAATGTAGTGCACACAGTCCTTTATAAATGTAATTTGAGATCAAAAAATTTATTAAGTAACAAATATAACAGTATTAAAAGACAGATTTTTATAAGCATTGAATTTTAAAATATAGCAACTACCATAACACTTCTAAACTTGTTTTTTGCTGATTAGGCGCAACATTATTTTTAACGGAAATATTAAAAGGAATTATTGTCACTAGTAACAACATACACGAGCACGAGACGCACATACAATATTATTTACACATCAGTGATAGTGTTATAATATACACCATCATTGCACGACATCAAATATAATTGACGAACAACTTCGATTGACGATTATAGGAAAGCTAAAAAATATAGCTTAAATAACGGCTTGACTTAGAAATAACTTAAAAAGAATTAAGTTTTGCTAAAATACTTCAAATTATATAATATTATATATTATTTTATACTTTGTGAAATTTCAAGAACGTTATTATGTATTATTTTTTTATTATTTATGACATAATAATAAACAATTTATATTTGAAAATTATCGAAGACGCTGCAATCTTATGAAATTATATTCAATAGCATACAGAATACACAGCCTCGAAGCATTAAATTTCCACCATTAGACTTTTTAATCACGTAGCTTCATTAAGCCATATATTATGTTCTTTTTAATATATTATGTAACATTCATATGCAGATTCATTTGCACAAACACACAATAAGATAATTGACGAATAAATATTACACTATTAATTCCACTATATAACTTAAAAGCTCTAATAGATTTATAACAAAGATCTATAGAGGAAAAGACTACATTTAAGTCTATCTTAAAATAATATGTATATACACAATTTAAACGATTTCAAGGGTCTTGTCTAGAGTGTTCAGACATCAGATGTGTAAAGAGTTAATTTAAACACTTTTATTTGTTACTTTAATAATGTTTATCTGTATATACACAATACATAGATAGTATAAATTGTTCTTTTGATCGGAGATTTTATGTGAGTCTGTTGGTGATCGTGTAATTAACGAACTGAGGTTATATTCGCACAATTGTTTTGTCGAGACGACGGTTCATAGCTATATCACAGATTAATAAATAGTTTACCAAGCTATGTCACAGAATGAATAATATTACCTACTAGCTATGTTAAGATCTGATCAATAACCCGGTAGACAAGTTATTAACAAATTCTGTATTAATTTATGAACCAAAAATACCTTATACTATGTTGCTTAACGCTAAAAAAAAAACAAAATCTGCATACGATAGGTGGCGCTGTGGTCTACTTGTTAATATATTTTATATTTACACTGAGTTTGAAGTGAAAAGGGCAGACACAACATCTGTCAATCCATTAGTAAATTTAAATAACAAATATATATGTCTGTGTAGTGATCTGATATAATATAGTAACGATTGTAGAAAATCTAGGTTGTTTAACTTCTTTCCGTCCGTCTGGGTACCTATTGCCTATTTATGTCGCCACAGAACAGGGCATGCACTGCTGAAAGTAAAGGAGCTAGTATAAGAACAGACTGTGATGGCGGCACCACGAGATACCACGAGACAGGCCTAGTAAGAGTGTGTACAATCTCTAGTATATATACAGTAATCTATGGTATACAATGTACAAGGTGCTCTCGTTGCGCCGCGTCGCGTCTCGCGACCCTCGTTCGCTCTCGATAGGCTCGTTAAGTCTCGCGATGAAAATAAGAGCGTACTCTATTCTATTCACCGTACATGGTTCTGTTACGGTAAATAGAAACCATCCACCATATTCTTCTTCGCCATGGCTTATTAAACTTCTTTTTATGGTAAATGTGTAAAAAATTATAATAACTAATGGCACAAAGGCAAAACACAGCAACAGTTTCATCTAGGTCCATCTCAGCGGGCATACGGAGTTCAAATGATACTACGAGTGTGTACATGGTGTGTCCTCGTGTCGAGCATCTATGCGACGAGAGGCACGCAAGGCGATGAGACGAGCGTGTACAGCCATTACAGTTAATAACCACTTACTTACCATCAGGTACTAGGACTGTAAAATCGTGTTACTTTTATAAAAAGCCATACTACTGTTTTTAGTATCTACTAATGTAAAATAATAATAATAATAAACCAGGCATCGTGGCAAACGATCTAATGATCTATCACGGTAAGTAGGTACTGCAACTCGTAGACACTTGAATTACACTTAAAAGGAAAAACCAAATGCTACAAACTAGACACGTGTCAATCATGAATGATTCGTTCGTTTGAGCTGGTACTCACACTTAAAAAGTATTGATGGTTTATTCATCTGTTTTTGAATGTTTCGGTGGAACCAATCACAAACAATTGACAGAACCTTTTTAACTCGTGATTGGTGTGAATTGTGAATAAGTCGAAAACCGACCGAATCCCGAATGATCTGAATGACTTTTTTTGGTGTAGGATACTGAAAGCCTGGAGCCTGAAATTATCCATTTGAATGATCGTTCCAAATGTACTAGTACGCGTGACGAAATGTACTAGAATGATTCGGTCACGAGAAATGAATGATTGACACATGTCTTTTTACCCTTTAAAACGGAATACAGTCGTGGATGTCCTGTAGACTGGCAGCAGAAATAGACATATTATATATATTAATATTTTAAGTTTAAATATTTGAGAAAATCTAGACAAAATTAAAAATAAAAACTAAACAGATTAGCTTTCAGATTTCGAATATCTATATATAACTCTATTTAAGAATAAAATGTGATGAATGGCAGTATAATTGCGAGTTTTGACAATATAAAATTTAAATAAAAAAAAGAAAGGGCACCAATGTCATTCTATGCATCCAATAACTAATAAAACACTTATCAATTCGTTATTTATAATTGTTAAACATTTTATCTTTAATTTCACACTTTCTCTTTTGGTTTCATGGTCTTTGTTAAGTGTTAAGTTGTTATCAATTACAATTCTAGAAGAAGAGGGAGTAAAAAAAAAAGTATTTACAAAATTAATATACCTGTCTCTATTACTCTAATAAAAATCTGTGGACATCACACCATATCATACAATTGGAATTCAGTTAATTAATAATTAGTCGGGGAAGAACGTTTATTGTGTAGTTTTTTGAGGTAAGAGATTGTTTCTATTTGGAAATCGAAAGGTCAGTCAAAAATTTACTAACTTAAAACGAAATTATATAACTTAATTATGAAACATAAATCTAGGTTATAGCGAAAATAGTATCTATTTGACTTTTGCTTTTGAAAATCTAAAACTACTATATATAAATCGAAAAAAATATGATCATTATGAATAATTATTTTCTTATAATAAACAAGATGGTTGATGATTGTGATATTTCTTATCGAATTTTGTTTTTGACCGGAGCACGCAATGCACACGTCGCGTGCACGCATTGCGATTGAAATTAAAGCAGTTTAAAAATCGTTGATGTAGCTCTTGGAAAGCTATATTGAAATTTTCACTGTACAACTAATTGATGATAAATTATTTATCTATTTCTATTTTTACAACTAGTAATAAACTTGTTTGCATACATCTGATTTACATTACTATTAATTCGTAAAAATCTCGATGTTTGTCTATGAAAACCCTTAACCGGTTTTTGATTTTAAAGGCAACCTGCCTTGCCGGTAAAGAAACATTTGCCGGTAAAGAAACATTTGTGCTTGATTATAATTTCTGAACAGTTAAATGATATCATATTTTGTAAATAAATTATTTTTAATAACAATGTAATAAGACATTACGAAAATAAGATTTTAATGAACAGAGATGATCAAATGAAATATTTTCTGTCAGTTTTTGTCGTGTATTTTTTAAAATATATAAAACTTGAATGTTTCGATAAAAGCATAAAAAATAAATTATTTATGTAAATAATTGTTAATATTTAATGCTAGGAAGTTTTAACTAATAGGTAGGTATGAATGTAAACGTAATTTATTTACCTCCTTTTCTCATTTTTTGTATACCTAATTTGAGAGAATTGCATTAATTAGATATTAATTATTAAATAATTAGTAAAATTAATTTAAGCTAACATCGATGTCTCGTTAATCATAAGATATAATATTTCTATAGGACACATACTTATAATTTTCGTCCAACAATAAATAAATAAATCTAATGGAAAACACGCTCACGCTTGAATGCTACTCAAATTGCAGAAATTTCTTTTAAGAAATATGCGGTTCGTTTTTAACGAATATGCATTTAAGCTTATTTATTTTATATTCTTATTAAATACTATTTCATAAACAAGATACAAATCTACTGTACGCTGGCGCCTTAACTATTTTGTTCATAAATATTAATTGAATTTAATGCGCAAAAAAAACCTTTAAAAAATTAAGCCGTTAACAAAATAACGCATTTCATTATCTACGATCAAAGTTTTACCGTAGTGGTTTTAATTGACTAAGCGAAATTATTTTTGTCCAACGTAATTTGCTAATTAATTTTCACATATTTATATAATTATATTATTTATATAATATAATTATAATTCAAACTTCGGTTTCAGTTCAGAAAATATTCCAATAATTAATGATTTTATTAAAAATAACATACTAGTCAAACATTCTAGACTTAAGCGCAGAGTAATAAGTTAAGACCACCATTTAAAGTCCCAAAAGATTTCCTGTAAAATTATATGGTGATGTGTGATCAATGATCATCATTCAATTATTATTACCATTAAAAACAAATAATCAGACAGCAATTATCCGTTACTAATTATAAGAAATAATTAGACGCCATAATTTTTTGCGAGGGTCCTACCACTATCATACAATGTAGCCTGTGACATGTGACACTCATTGGATGGAGAGAAATCAAACGATACTAAAATTAAAATCCGTCAAGCCGTTTTGACCAAGACTGCAAAGGAACCGATATAAATATTATTATATACATTCAAAAAACCTTACCCCCTTTTCTGTGGGAGTCTGTTAAATATTAAGACATTGATGATGACGATAGAGTGATTAATAAGTAGATTCGCAGTCAGGCAGATGGAAGTTTCCGAACACGTTAAGTTCGTAGAGGCTGGCGAGGGTGATGAACAGCAGATACCAAATCATCAGCAGCACACCGAACTTGCGGTCTAGCTTCCAGCCGTTGGCGTGGGTCGCCACCACCAGGAAGACCACCGTCGAAAACAGCGACAGGGTTGAATAGATTAGACCTAAATTAAGAATACATTCGATTAATCTATTTCTATTTCTAAAAAAGGTTCTCGAGTGGAAGCCCCGTACCGGTGGGCGTAGTGTAGGGCGACCCTCTACTAGATGAAGTGACGAATTGGTAAGATATGCAGGAAGTCGATGGATGCAGGTGGCTCAGGATCGTGCTTTGTGGCATACCTTGGGGGAAGCCTATGTTCAGCAGTGGACTTGTGAAGCAGATTAGAGGCAAATCTCCAGTACATACAATACTGCCACAGTAAATCGGCACTTAAAATTGCAATTAACAATATCATTGACGCCGGCAGGGATTAAAAGCGGGTTGCTCACGTACTGTGAATTTTACAGCGAGCGCTAAGGCTTCTGAGCTACGACTCTACTGATTTATCACGTGGTCGGCGCTGAAGGAAAACATCGTGAGGAAACCTGCATGTCAGAGGAACGAAAAAAATTGAAGACATGTGTAGTCCGCCAACACGCATTAGGGCAGCGCGGCGGCCGCTTCCTTGCCCCAAAAATCCTCTCAGAAGTGGGAGGAGGCCTGTGCCCTGCAGTGGAACGTTACATTACAGTATATCAAAGTCCACTACTGAACATAAGCTTCCCCATAGAATGACTCACAAGGGGTATATTTGCCACAGTTGGCACAAGTTTCCAATGTCAAGCTGTCAAATAAAGGGTTACCTCAAGGCTCAACTTCGGGGCCTCTTTTGTTTGCTATGTACTGTGCAGATATGGTAGATCACATCAAACATTGTAGATACCATATGTATGTACCATATGGCTGGCGTGTTGACAGCCGCAGTTTTTTTTTAAATTTTTAAGTTGTTATTAGGAAGACGGTGCCGTTCATCTGCTGGTTTGTTTTCCTCTGTCGCGTTTTATGACACCCAAGGGACGATATGGATATTCTTACACAGACATTTTAAAAATATTAATTTAATTCCGTAATTTTATACTATCGCGGTCACATCGTTTTTTGGCTCTAGAAAATCGAATGAAACCAATAAAAATGAAAATTTATATTGGTTTCAAGCACTGACCTCCATATATACAAGTATGCTGGACTGGCTATACCATACAAAATGACTGTGCCAATTTGAAGCGCCGCTAAAGGACGTCTTGAAAAATAAAATTGACATAATATGCCAAAGTCTGTTTGTCTTATTTATATTGTCTTATTTCATAAGTCTATATTTTGAACTTTTAAACTAAAAAACGAAAGTATTTTGTTGTTTGATTGTGTATAATATTAGTTACATAATAAGAATTACTTTTATTAATAATGAGAGTGTGCGTAATTGGTAAAACTCGTTACCAAAAGGGAAGTGGTATAACATTTCACAAGTAAGTGAATTTGCAGCAAATATTAAACAAATTAAAACTATTTGATAATACAAGTACTTAAAAATTTGTTACTAATCTTAATATCATATATACCAACATGTTTGGGTGTATATTACAGAGTTTTGATAAACAATAAAATTCAATAGGGTTGTTGAGTTCCTTGTCTATACTGTACTTATCGATGTTCTTTCCTACCCATATGTGTTAACAAAAAAATCGCCAACAACGGATGATTATCAAATGTTTATTAACTAACAGGTTTCCAACCGAACCTAGACTAAAATTATGGCTTAAAAGCATAAATATTGTGAATTGGCGTCCGTAACAAAATGATCATATTTGTTCCAAACATTTTACAGACGACTGTTTTATTAGATATGAGAACTGCACCACTTTGAAAAGTGCAGTATACCGACAATATTTTCTGGTACCAGTATCAGTAAGTATAAAACTATTAGATTATTATTTAGAATGTTTTCTTTTATTTCTTCTTTCCTTATTTTCCAGCAAACTCAAGGGCTATAGCCAAGTGTCGAAAGATCGCCTGATGATGTCAAGCCACATCGGATGTGTATTAGTGGGCTGCGGCTATAGGAGATTCCTCTCCCTGGACTGCTGTAGTCGAGGTGGAGTCGTAAAGGAAGAGGAGTGTTGGTATGGCGATTGGTGATGCACCACTCGACTATCCTTCGCGACTTTGGTGAGGCTGCACCACTTAATGCTTCCAAGTGCTCATTTTTCCCTGGCTCCATTCACATCTCGGGCTCAGGGAGTCCGTAGTACAGCTCGTATCTCTATAAATGTTTCCTCGGTTTAAGATCTTTGTAAGAATATTTAGAGACGATACCAGGAGACCCAACGGTATGGGTTTGGTTGGTTGCTTGAGAGAGAGAGAGAGAGAGAGAGAGATAAAGCTTCTATCTCAGGGGTACCTCATCTAAAGCAGGGGTGGCAATAGAGGCAACTGAACCAAGTAAATACCCCAGAGTATCTGGAAAATTAGTACATATTTGTGCAATTTAATTTACCCGTAACATTCATTGCTATGCAGATGACAGCACTGATGATGCTCTGTACACCGGCCGTGCCAATATTTCTCGGGAAAACGTCTCCGAGTACCGGGACAAACTTGTGTCTGAAGTCGAATCTTTGCTGAACAGTTTCGGATTGTGGGCGACTAAATCTAGTCCAGTTTAACCCGCAGAAGACACAAGTTTGCGCGTTAACCGCTAAAAAGAACCCCTTTGTGGTATCTCCTCGGTTTCAAGGCACTCCCCTTGTTGCCTCAGCCAGTATCGGAATCCTCGGTGTCAACATATTGGACTTGGAAGAGAAAAGCCAAATTGGCCTCTAAAAAGCTTGGCGTGCTCAGCAGAGTGGGACAGTATTTCATGCCGGCACACCCCGCCTGCAACTTTACAAGACGCAGGTTCGGCCGCACATTTATATTATAAAAATAGTGTACATGCTGGCTTACAGTATGCCCAAAACGTCAGCATGCTAATTTACAAATTACAGTTTTAAATAATAGTAATAATATAAGATACATGTCAAAAGGTCAAATAAATTAAAGGATACATGTCCAATAGATCAAATAAATACCAAAAAAATACATGCCAAATACATTAAAAGTCAAATAGATTACGTGTCAAATAAATTAAGCAAAATGACATTGTCAGATTGATTACATAAGATACGATTAAAAGAATATATTACAATATGTCAAAATTGGATGTCAAGAATAGAAGGGCTTTACTACACAGTTGCCCAAAGCTATCAGCAAATAAGTCAGTCTCGTTATCATCTGCGAGCATGTCTCCAATAAGTCGTATAGCACGAGAAGAGGGCGCGTGAGCGCCATACCTGGTTTGCGCCGGCGGCCGCCACAGAAGGCGCGGTGCTGCCACCGTCCTCTCCACATCACAGCCCAGCCGCTGGAATACTGTTCCCATCTCTGGGCTGGAGCTCCCCAGTACCAGCTCCTTCCACTTGACCGTATCCAGCGCAGAGCGGCTCGAATCGTCGACGACCGAGTGCTTTCCGATCGGCTCGATTCACTGGATGCAAAGAGATGTTGCATCTCTTTGCATTTTCTTTTGCATAAACCGTGGGGAGTGCTCTGAGGAATTGTTCGGATTAATCCCAGCCGCCAAATTTCGTGAACGCACTACGCGGCAAATGTCGCGATACCATCCACACCATCTGGATACCTGGCGGTCCACCACTGTAGGTTTCACAAGGATTTTTCTTCCGCGTACGACCTCTTTGTGGAATAGTTTACCACCAGCGATTTTTCCGGACCGATACGACCTGGGGACTTTCAAGAAAAGAGCTTACTCCTTTCTAAAGGGCCGGCAATGCACCTGCAATTCCCCTGGTGTTGCGGTTGATCATGGGCGGCGGTAGTCATTTAACATCAGGTGAGCCGCATTCTCGTTTGCCCCCTCTGCTATAAAAAAATAGCTGTAGAGACTATTGGTCCGTAGGGTGCACGTGCGGTGTAATTTCTAAAAAACTGTATCTGCGACTGATCATCGCTGCTGGTAATAAGAAGTTACTTAGTTGGTTGTTTCCTCGCTTGAAGGCTAAGTATAGCCATTCAGTGAGGACACTTAGCCAGCATTCTTGGGACGATACCACAGAAAGTAGGACTTTATGATAATTTCAGTTATTTTTTTTATATTGTAATTTCAATTTCGAAAATGACGTTGTAAATAACTGATAACTATGTAATTCAAAGTTTATATTTTTTATATTATCTTGCTAGCTCGTACCGGCGCATTGCTGCCGCAGAACAAATAATTGTGGAAATATCGTTAAAAATGTGAAACAGTTATAATGTATAATTAGGAATGATAATACAATCATTGAATTAGAATGATATATAACTTTCTATAACTTTCAAATAAATAGTCGGTATAATACTGTTACGCGCCTTAGTCGACGGCACCAGCACCTAGTTGAAACTCGAACTCTCGGTACCTTGCGCGTGTTTACTTGAATATTCTGGATATTTCCGTGCTAATTTATATATTGCTTACGCTGCAAGATGCGATCGGGGAAGTATTGAAGTTGGCGAGATAAGCGAAGCTTCTGAGCGGAATAAAGTGAATCAGTGTGATTAATTATTAGTGTTTTAAGTTTTAATTGATGTAAAGAAAATTAAAGTGTTAATTTAGGTAATTCTATAGGCAATTTTTAATTGTCACGAACCTCAAGCTCGTAACAATTGGGTGGTCGTGGCTGACATGAAGAAATCACTGGACGAACTCAAACTTGGAGAGGGAGCTACAGTTCCCGTGGTAGCTACAACACCTTCGCTACGTGGGTTTAAGGTGCCACCGTTCGACGGTACCTCTTCCTGGTCAGCCTACAAAATCCAGTTCGAGGCTGTTATGAAGGCGAACGGCTGGAATAAAAGTCAGGCCATGACTGCTCTCACACTAGGTCTGCGCGACCAGGCCTTAACAGTTCTGGAAGCTCTCGGTGAGGAAGTGACTTATGAGCAACTCCTTGAGGCGTTGGAGGCGAGATATGGTGACGCTCACCTGGAACACGTCTTTCGTGCGCAGCTTAAAGATCGCGTGCAGCGCAGCAACGAAAACCTGCAGGAGTGGGCTCTAGAGGTGGAGAAGCTGGTGCGAAAAGCATACCG